CTCCAAGGGCAGCTTGCGCCCCCACCCTGCTCAGGGAGGACAGACGTCCCAGGAATTCACTGCTCAGATGTTTAATGAGCCTCTGCCTGGTAGAGCAGCTCGCATGGCCCGGAGCTGGGGGTTCATCCTGAAGTCTGACTGAATCCCGCGGCAGTAGGCCAAGGGCTCCAGGACCGTTGCTGGGCGGTTCTAGTCCCCTGCTGCTCTCAGCCCTCCCTCCGGAAGGCTCCTGTGCCCCAGAGGCCGCCCCCAGGAAAGCTGGCCTCCATGCACAGGGGTGCAGAAAGATGCCGGAAGTCACCCACCGCTCCAGAACCCTACCCAGCATCCTCTCCTCTCCAGCGGAGGCTGACCTTGGGGCCCGGCTGTTTCAAGCGGACAGAGGGCCCACAGGGCTGTGGAAGCCAGAGGGCAAACTGGCTGCATCTCCAGAGGGTGCAGCTTAGAGGGAGGGAGAGGAAGGAGCCAAAGCCACAGCCAGAGGGACATGGGTCAGACTCTGACCACCCAGCCTGCATGGGCTGTGTCCACCTCTGCCTGGCCCGCTCCGGGCGGTGACTGCTGGATGTCCCGGGACGGCCCAGGTGCGTAACATGGGCGGACAGAAGTCCTGCAGATTGGTAGGGCTAGAACCACCCAGTCAGGAGCAGGGGAGACCTAGAAGTGTAGGGTCCTGAGCGTGCCCTCCGAAGGGATCACACACATGTGGACACCTCCTCCCGCAGGCTCTGCCCAGACCCCTGTGAACCGAGGGGGCAGATCCCTCACCCTACTGTCTCCCAGGCCCGTGCCCTCCCTAGACCAAGTTGGCTCTGCTTGGCCTTGCCACATCACAGAGGGGATGGAGTAAAGGTCAGCTTGGACCCTCTTCCATTCAGCCCAGAGAGATGAGGGGGCCAGGATTAGAGTATTTGGGGGTCCCTGATGAGAGCAGATGAGGGAAAAATGAGCTGACTTGGTGTGAGCCACAGATCAGTCTCTCTCCTGGCCTCTCTGTGCAGCCGTTTCTGCATCCAACAGTGCACTGGGTCACAGAGAGCTGGACATCTCAGCATTCTGGGGGACCCCATGGCCAGGTCCTCCCGAAGGCCTGCCTGTGTATGCCAGGTACCATTCGGGCTGGAGACACCTCTCTGAGGGAGAGCCACTGTCCCCCATGGCTGACCGTCCTGACAGTCGTCTCCAGAGGTAGTGAGTTCCCTGTCACTAGGTGCGGAGCAGGAGACATTGGTGAAGGCGCCGTCAACAGGGAGTTTTCTGGTCACGCCTGTCCCTTGTTCAGGGACAAGAACGTGCCCCATGGAGGCCCAGGGAGCCCTCGGTGTGATGAGATCTTGGAGCTGCCCCTGGGGTTCGGGTATCTCGGGGTTTGGGGGAGTTCGGCGTGCAGAGGGTGGGAGTGACTGCGCCCAGTGACCTCACATGAGCACACACGTCTGCATGTGAGTGGTTGCACGAGGGGCCGGCATGGAGAATGGGAAAGAGGTGAGCCAACAGCGTGTGGACAGTGTGTGGAGGGTCACGTCCTGGCACGCGGCACAGAAGCCAGGCTGTGCCGTGAATGTGGCCTTCCCGGACAAGAGGTGGCTGCCTGCCGCCTCCCGGCGGGGGGGGTGGAGGGCAGGCAGGTGCGGAGGGGCCTCTGGCCTTCCAACCAGGAACTGCCCAGTCTCCTCAGCGACGAGCCCTGTGATGGCGGTCCCTGGGCTTGTGCCTCCCTCCCACCTCTGTCCCACTGGCGCCCAGGCTCTGGAATAGCAGCATATAGGTGCTGTGTCCCCTCAGTTCCCAAGAATGGGGTCTGGGCTGAGCCTGGAGTGGGTCCTTGAAATCAGAGAGGCCCAAGACGCTGCAGGGTCTGTGTCCTCTGTGCCCACCCTGCCTGTTCTAGCCGCATGCTTCCGCCTGAGACTGTGCTAAGCTCCCCCCAAGCCCCGCTGGAGCTCTGGGTCCCGGATCCGGGCACAACAAGTGAGGGTCCGCCCCCAGGAGCTTTAGATCCACTCCCAAGAGGCCAGCTCCGTGCCAGACGGCCCCTGCAGGAGGTGCGCCTGGGCCAGACCTTGGACCCTTGGCGAAGGCATGCACGAAGGCAGGAGGACGGGAGCCTGTGTGCATGGGTGCTCACGGCTAGCAAGGAGGGATGGGACCGGGTGGAGCAGAGTGGGGTGGGGGGTGCTGGAGGAATGTCACGCCTGGGCTTTGGGTCTCCTGGTGACGCCAGGCCCCAGCTACTGGGCACCTGCAGGCAGCCAGGAGTGGGCCGCCGGCCGCATCGCCAGCCGGCACCGAGGTGGTGCCGCAGGAACAGCGGTTGCCGGGCGCCTCTGTGGTCGCCATGGCAACGACGGAGGCGCTAACTTGCTAATGAGTCCCGCTCGGCTGCAAATAACAATACTATGGCGGTTGATGGGGCTGGAGAGCTCCTCGAGGGAGGTGGGGCTGAGACCAGGTACTGGGCGGGGGGAGCCTATCGGCCCACCCTCCAGCCCGCTTCCTGCCCTCTACCACGGCCCCTCCCCTCCCCCCACCGTCCTGCAGCCCCACAGCCCTGCTGGGCTCTTCCCCACACTCGTCCTGAGCCGGCCTCCCTCCTGTCCTGCAGAGGGAGCGGGCGCCTCTCCGCACCCCAGCCCCTGTCCCAGCCAGTTAGGGATCCGAGGGCAGTGTTTGTGCCCCGTGACTGCAGGGAGGGCAAAGGACCTCCCTTCAGCCACTTCCTTGTCCCTGCCCTGAAGGGCTGTCCCGCCTCTCTCTTCAGGTGGGCGCCAGTCAGCGCTCGCCTAGCTGATGGGAAACCTGCGCCCCTCTGCCCCCACGCATCTGCCCCAGGGACTGGGCCTCTGCACTGGGCTCCTGGTCAGGCCTCCATGCCAGAGGCTCACGCAGGGGGCCTGGAAGGGGCAGCCGGTCTGCCACAGTCTTGACGAGGTGCAGACGGCAACTCAGTAGCTTCTCAAAACACGTCGTACAGGAATAGAATTGGGGGCCCTCACCACACAGGCTGGGACCCCCCACAGCAGACAGGGCCCCCTCAGCAGGGGAGGTCCCCCAGGCAGGTGCGGACTCCACAGACAGGCCCCCAGCTGGCAAAGAGGTCCCTCAGCATGTGGGGTACCCCTTTTGGCAGACGGGCCCTTTTGCTGTTGGCCTTGCTTGGTTTGGCCCTTGGGAGGGATAGCGGCCCCAGCTGCACCCGGGCCTCACCCCCACTGTGGAGGAGCCCGGGCACCTGCCCGGGGAGCCGGGCATCTATGAGCGGGATCCCGGGGCCCTGCCTTCTGGCCAGGGCCATCCCGGCCACTTCCCGTTGGGCCAGCTCCAGGGGCCCAGCCTAAGGCTGCCCATGGCCAGCAGGCATGGCCTACACCTGCCTGGCACCTGGTTCTCTGTGAAGCCCGCCGTCCCCACCCCACCCCACCTGAAGAGGGACAAGTGTCCTTGGGAGGCCTCAACCGCCGCAGCTGGAGGCTGGGGGCTTACTGAGAGGGTCATCCTCTGACATCTGCCCCCCCAGCCTCTCCTGTGCCAGAGCTGGGCAGGGGTGCGGTGGAGGGAAGACCCCGCATGAACAGCAGTGGTAGAGGCTGTGGGTCCTGACCAGTCCCCGTGGGGTGACCCGAGGCTAACCCCTCCCCTTCCCCAAGTCTCCATCTGCCCATCTTTAAAGTCAAGTCAGCACCCTCACGCTGTGCATCCTGGTGGGCTGGGTAGCGAGGTGGGCCTAGGAAAGGCTGGTCCTGGCAGGTGGCAGGGCAGGTGGGGCGTGGGGTGGGGGTGGGAGGTGTGTGGCAGAGGCCAGAGTACCAAACCCGCAAGAGGGGTCTAAGCCCCAGGATCTGGGGTCCCTTGTACTTCCTCCACACAGCCCTCAGCCCAAGAGCTCGTACAGGCCATGCTGAGAGTCCCCGCACCCCAAGGGTCCTACATCTGTGTCACCTAGTTTGCCTTTCATCCATACCACCCCATCCTGGGACCTACCAGCCCCTAGAAGGGTCCCCGTAAACTTCAGGCCTTCAGTGTGCCTGACACAGCCTGCCATGCTGCCCGCTCCATTCAGTGAGCGTGTGACACGCTCCTGCAGGGAGACGGACACTGGCCCCAGACCCTTTTTGTGGCAGGCGCTAGGGCTCAGGCTGCGGGACTGGGACAACGGCAGCCTTGGAGGAGCCCCACCTCCATGCCCAAGACCCCCCTGCCCCCACCCCCGGGGCCCTGCCCGGGCACCTGCCCCAGGAGCCCAGCAGCGTGTGTGGACGCAGCCCGGACCCCCCTTCCTCGGGGTCCAGATGGTCAGTTCAGGGAGTGACGGCGCTGCACGCAGCCAGAGGGGGCCGGTGTACTGGGGCAGGGAGCGGGTTCTGGACCCTGCCCGGCCCAGAGTTCTGGAGAAGATGTGGGGGGGGGGGGGGGGGGGGGGGGGGGGGGGGGGGCATCCCAGCAATGGGATGACAGAAGCCTTGAGGGCAGAATGAAGGGTTCCAGATCAAGTGAGTGTCCATGAACCCAAGGGCCTGGGGAGGGGTCCTCAGGCCCCTCCTCCCTGTCCAGCCCGTGCTTCCCTCTGGGGTCCCCCATCTGCCTTGCTGTGTCCCACTGGGAGGCTGTCGCCGTGGCCTGCACAGTGCAGTGCTGGATGGGACCCTTGGGGCCCACTCTCCCAGTCCGATGGGCCCATCTCGCATGTCTGGGGACTCGCCTTTCGTGGAGCCAGAGGGGCTATTGATTCACCCCAGGCGAGGTAGGGCCCCCCGGGTGCCTGCCGGCTCGGCCGTTCCGGTGCCCTTGGGTCCCAGCACAGGCCCTCCTGAGGTCAGCCCTGCCTGGGGTGCTGGCCAGGTGCCCGCTGTGGGGGCCCACAGCCCCGCTCACCATCTGCCTCTCCCTGCAGGTCTGGCATCATGCCCGGGCCCTCTGCCCTCTAGGCCACATCCCCGGCCTGCAGAGCAGCCCCTGGGCACTTCAGGGCTCACCCCTTCCCCACTGCCCCCTGCCCCACCATGGCAGGGGACCGACTCCCTCGGAAGGTGATGGATGCCAAGAAGCTGGCCAGCCTCCTGCGGGGCGGACCTGGGGGACCGCTGGTCATCGACAGCCGCTCGTTCGTGGAGTACAACAGCTGGCACGTGCTCAGCTCAGTGAACATCTGCTGCTCCAAGCTGGTGAAGCGGCGGCTGCAGCAGGGCAAGGTGACCATCGCCGAGCTCATCCAGCCGGCCGTGCGCGGCCAGGTACCAGCCCTTGTGCCCTACGCCCTGTCCCACCCCCATCCCATCCCCACCCAGGTTTCCATCACTTCCAGGGGCCAGGGCAGAGCTCCTCAGCTGGGTACACAGGGGCCCTCCGCTGGCCGCACCACCGCCCCTCAAACCCACACCGGGCTCCCAGGGTCAGAATGCTAGTTTGGGCCTGGCAGGCAGCTCCCACCCCACTCCCCGAGCTTCCTCTTTGAGTCACAAATGCTCCTCCCCAGGGAGGCCCTCTGCAGAGCCCATCTCCCCAGAGACGAGCTCCTCCCACCAGCCTGGTGACCCTATCTAGGTCCTCACTCAGCCCCAGAGCAGAGGTCTCCCCATGTAAGACTGGACGGTGTCCCTGGGGCCCAGGCCAAGGCTCAGAGGGGCAGTGGACCCAGATGGCAGCTGGTCAGGCGCACACGAGTGCTGTGAGAACCCAGAGGAAGATGGGGGGAGGCAAGAGGCTTACGCTGAGCATCCGTGTGCCCAGCCCCCCAGTTCTTTCCCTGGAGTTCTGAGTGACCCAGAATTCTCTCTCCATGCCCCTCCCCCATGAATGTCCCAGGTCACCTGCAGGGGACAATCCTGTCTCCATTAGCCAGCAGCATCAGGTCCAGCACTGGGAGGGACCACTGGCCCCCTGACCTGGGAAGGCGGGGGCACCTCCAGTGGGGGAGTGACATGGCCAGCAGCCCGGAGCTGGGGAGGGGTCTCGGTCACAGGCCCTGCGCCAGCAGAGCTGGATGTGAGGGGACCCAGGTGGCACAGCCGCTTACGGGGAGTTTCCCCCACGCCCACCAAGGCCAGAGCGAGCTCCCTGCAGCCTCAGGGAGGGAACCCGGTGATTACTCACCCCCAGCGAGGACTCCCAGGCAGAGCGCAATCCCATTGGCTGCTGGTGACATCATCGACCCAGGGTTGGCGGCTCAGCTGGCTTAGGGCCTGAGTGTGCTTGGGGGGCAGGGCAGTAGCCAATGGGAGTAAAAGCGACTCAGCAGCTGGTCCCCAGGCTGGGCATTCAGGATGGGAAGAGGGCAGGGGAGCCCCAACGTCCAGCTGCCTCCTGGGTGAAGAGGGGCTCTTACAGCAGCCCCCACGTTTCCCATCGCTGGCTAGGGATTTAATTGCCCACATCCAAAGGCACGCCACCCTCAGAAGCACTGAAATGGCCTCCCAGTGACCCTGGGGGTGGTTTTCCCTTGGCCTCAGCCACCCCGACAGCGTGTGTACCTTCCTGTCACCGTGACCACCCATGTGTGCCCGAGGACCCGGTTACACTCACTGCATCTTATCCTAGGGGGCCTGGCCCACCATGGGTGCCCACAATGTCCGTCCTTAGCGGAGGTGCCTGTGTGAGAGGGCGGGCACGAGGAGGAGTGTGCCCCTGTTCCTGCTGGCTCGGAAGGCCTGCCTGTGTTGCTATGGGCGCTCACACCTGTCCAGGTGTGAGCTGTGAGATGGGTGGGTGGCAGAGAGCCTGCCCTCCCCTCCAGGTGGCAAGGAGGCAGCAGCCCCTCCCTGCCACAGCCTGACCGGTAGCAGCAGGTGGCAGCAGGGATGGGGGCATCAGGCAGGTGCCCAGCAGTGCCCTGATCTCTGCCCTTACGGCCTCCAGGTAGAGGCCACAGAGCCACAGGACGTGGTCGTCTATGACCAGAGCACACGGGACGCCAGCGTGCTGGCCGCGGACAGCTTCCTCTCCATCCTGCTCAGCAAGCTGGACGGCTGCTTCGACAGCGTGGCCATCCTCACGGGTGAGCTCCAGATAGCCCCGGGGCAGGGGGCTCTGGGCACCCTCTCCTCACTGCCTCTCCTCACTGGGAGCTTAGCTTTGGGGGGAGGCATTGGGGGAGTCAGTCTCTGGATCCACTTCTGCTCTCTTCTCTGAGCCCAGAAACCAGCAGGTACTGGGGGCAGTGTCGGTGGGGGGAGCGCTGTCTCAGTAACTAGAGTTCTCCCAGGCTCCATTGTCCCCTCCCTTGGACCCGCACGCTTTAGCACCCCTCCAGCATGAGCCTACCCTGCCCCTAGCAGGTGAAGAGGTAGGTGGGAGGAAAGCCCTAAATGCCATCTGTGGCAGGAGAGGAGGGAAGGGATCTAGGCCGAGATGAGTCTCTGCCCCTCCAGCTGTCCAAGATGGGGGCATAGCCCCTGTCCTCTGCAAACCGCAATCTGACCAGAACTGGTCCCAGACAGGGAGTGCCTCTGAAGGCTGCAGCCAGCCCAGGATGCCCGGCCCCTGCTGGGGACCAGTAGAGGTCCCGGTGGGGCTTCCTGGTCCCCAGAAGCAGCCCAGGCACCCCGGAGGCTGGGAAGGCCCCCGTGCGCACACGCGCGCACACGCACACACACACACGCCCCGCCCTGGTTCTTGATGATTCCTTCCTCTGTTGGCAGGGCCTGGGGCACTTCTGCAGAACCCACCTCCCAGACACGACCCAGGTTCCAGGGATGGGTTGAGCTGGCCTGTCTTGGGCGGTGCACCCTCCCTGCCCGGGTCTGGGGCCTTTGGGGGCGCTCCTGCCCCTGGCCTCTGCAGCCAGGGGCCGTGACCAGTGGGTGGAGGATGGAGAGGGCTGAAGAGGGTGTCAGCAACCTCCCCACCGCTGGACACCTCCGTACAGTCACCACATCTGCCCTGAGCCGCCCCTTACGTGTGGGCATGCTGTGGGGTGGTCCGTGGGCAGAGGGCTGGCCCTTTGGCACTGGTACCCAGAGGGAGCATGGACCTTCACCACAGCCCATGGGAGGCTTACGGGTGGGTCCGTGTGGTGTGCAGGTGTCCGTGCTGCCGTCTACGCACGTGTCTGGGTCTACCCAGTCAGAGGGCGTCTGCATCTATGCGTGGCTCTGGGAGGCTGGTGATCTGTGCTTGCTTGTGCGGTGGGACGTGGGTTTGTGTGCGTGTGTGGGAACTCTCTGACCAGAGGCCACAGAATTGCAGACTCTCTGATTCAACCACTGAACCCTGGGCTCCATTTGAGGGCTGAGCAGGTAGGGAGAAGAGGGAGGGAGGACAGAGGCTCTGGGCTTTCTCAGGGGGTGTCCTGGTGTGTGTGTATGTGTGTGTGTGTGTGTGTGTGTGTGTGTGTGCACGCGCGCGCACGCCCATGCTCTCTAGTCAGGAGTGGGAGCCACCAGGCCTTCCACAAGTTTGAGAAACTGGACCCAGAGCAGCGCCCTCCCTGACCACTAGGCTGCCCAGGAAAGCCCAGGACCTCTGGTGCTGTCTCCTCTGGAGGCTGTGGCTCCTCATCTCCTCACCTCCTCACCTTCTCACGTTGAGGGCAGCCATAGGGCAGGTCTCCAATGTGCCAGGAGGGCTCACCTGACACTGGCTGTGCCCCACTTGGTGCGCTCAACTCTCCGGGCCTGCACCTGCTCTTTGTTCCCTGCCAGCCCCTCCCTGCGAGGGTAGAGTATTTGACCCCATTTCCCTGAGGGCCAAGCCAGACAGAAGTCCAGACCCACCGCGGCATGAGAAGGGCTCACAGCGGCACCGAGTCAGGACGCGGACTCGGGGACAGCCGGGGAGCCTGGCCCGCAGCTCTCACCCCTGAGGCCAGCGGGAAGGCAAGGCTGAGTGGGACCGGGGGATGCTGCCCCGCCAGAAAGGGCGGGTGACTTTCCAAGGTCCGTAGCGCAGGGGGAGGGGGCTCCGCGGAGGCCAGACGGGGCGGACCCCACCCGCGGTGGGCGGGGCCGGGGAGCTCCAGGAGGACGTCGCGGCCGGGGGCAGAGGGAGGCCTCTCGGGGACCGGGGAGGCTGGCGGCTGCGGAGGAGGGAGGTAGGGCAGGGCGCGGGGTACGGAACCGGCCGGGAGCGCCGCCCCCCTCCCCAGACCGCTCGGCGGTGACGTCCGGCGGGGCGGGGACGGAAGGCGAGCCTGGCCCTTTAAGCGGCGGGCGGCCGGGTGCGCGCTGCTGCGGAATGCGGGCTGCTGCGGTCGCGGCGCCGGCTCGGTGCGCCCCCGCGGCCCGACCCCGCGCGCGCCGCCCTCGGACCCTGGCCGGAGACCGCAGCGGGAGCGGCCCCTGCGCGGAGGGTGCGCGGAGCGTGCGCGGGGGCGGAGGGGCGGGCAGATGCGGGCCCTCCCGGGGCGCGGGGACCGCGGCGGCGGGGCGGGGGGCTGCGGGGCGCGCCGCCGGCGTGTGGGCAGGAGAGCGCCTGGAGGGAGCGCGGCGGGGGGCAGGGCCGGCCCGGGGCCCGAGGGTCGGTGCGGTCCGTGGGTCCTGGGCGCGAGCTCCTGTGCGAGTCCGCGGCTCCATTGTGCGGCGGCGGCGCGAGCCGGGAAGCTGCGAGGCAGCGGGAGGTGGATGTCCCTCCTGAAGCAAGGTGCCCTTGGGGATGCCTGGGGGATGGGGGAGCCTCCCCCCCCCCCGTCCCGGCGAGGAGTGCCAGCACCTGAGGGTACGGGCCTGCTGCCACTGATACAGGGTGGACCTCTCCAGCAACAGGGAGCCCCGCGGGGGTGTCCTGACATCACTGGAGGGGTGGGGCCACAGGCTCTGCTGCCCTTGGCCCGGGTGGGGGGCTTGCCGGGGTCACCACAAGCTGCTTGGCTCTCCCGGAAGGGGAGGCAGACCTGTGAGGCTTTACCTGAGGGGTTGCAGTCAAAACTGGCAGGTCTGCACCTGTCCAGAGATCCCCCTTTGTAGGGGAAGTTGCTGGTGGCATAAGCCCAGCCCTCGGCTTGGGTGACGCCCCCCAGAGAGCGCGGGAGGCATATGGTAGAGACGAGTCTTTGGCAGAGACCCTGCAAACCTCCCGTCTCCTAGGGTGGGGGGCGTTGTCCTCCAGCAGGAACACCCAGGGGACCCCGGGCTCTGGCCCGTAAGCAAGCCCAGCCCCCACAGCAGAGCAGCTTTTACCTGTGCGCGCCTGTCAGCTGTGCTCACAGTCAGCCACTTCTCCCTGTCCAGCCAGCGGGTTGCCGAGGTAGGGAGAGCTTCTCCTCCAAGGCAGCTGCCTCCACTCCCTCAGCCTGCAGGGCCCCCCCATCACCCTGCCCCCCACCAAAGGCAAGCCGTTATTGGGGACACAAGGAATGCTCGTGGCACGCACTCTGGTTGGGGGTTTGTACAAACTGGCCGTGGAGCTGGGCCAGGGGTGAAGGCCGAGGGCACCAGGCATCTCTGTCCTGGGAAATCAGCCAGGTGTCAGGCACCAGCTGTGTCTGCAGACGGGGAAAAAGCACTAGGGCTCACGTGGCCTGGGCCCCCGCCTCACTCCCCTGCCTCATCCCAGGTGGGCACTAGGGTGGGCATCTGTCCGCTTGAACTCTGTAGTGGATCCGTCCATGGAGGGCAGGGAATGTCCACAGGCCTCATGTCCCCAAAAGTGTGGTTTGGCCCAGAGTGGCCGCCAGGGAGTGTCATCTCACCGCACAGGAGCTGGCGGCCACCCAGCTGCCTGGGCGCGGGCCGCTTAGTTCTCCGTGTGTCTTCACAGCCTCCATCTCTGTCGAGACTCACAACTGTGCTATGTGGCAGGCTGGCTGTGGAAACCGGCCAGAGCTGTAGTGAGTCCCGCCCATGGTCACTCACGGAGTCAGAGATATACTAGGGATTCCCGCTGGGGTCTTTGAGGCTGGCAGATGGGCTCCTTCCTCTAACCTGTGGCCCAGGACATGGTGGTGCGGGGAAGGCAGTAGGCACCTGCCAGCCACGTGTCACATGCGTGCCCGCTGCAGGTCCTGCTCGCTCCCTGTCCTCTGGTGCTGTCCTCTGGGCAGAAGCGAGCCCAAACTGGAGCACAGGTGCCCTGCAGGCTGTGCCAATTCCAGGAGGTGACGACATGCCCAGGGGCAGGAGGGCCCCCCTCCAAAGCCCTTGCCTCCTGGTCCTGGCACCTAGGCTTGGCCAGGGGCTCCCAGCCAACTAGCATCAGGGAGGGATTGCGTCAGCCCCGGGGGAGAGGCAGGAAGGCCCAGGCTGGCCCCTGGCCGCCACAGGCACAGAAGAGCCACACCCTCGACGGGGACCTTCCATGGCATCAGAGCCGCCCCCCTCCCCAGCCCTGCACGTGCTGGGCCAGCCCGCAGCCTCAAGCCCGAGTTTATGGGCATCACAGCGGCGTCCTGGCGGGCGCAGCTCCTAATTAGTCCTGGGAGGAATGCGGGCGTAGGGACAAGCTGTATATGCGCCCAGCACGCGCCTCGACTCTGTGAGCGCAGCCTTCCGGCACCCCGCACTGACTCCTGGTGCTCAGGCCAGAGTCTCACTACCTGGCACCGCGTGGGGCAGGGGGTCCAGGCTGCGGCCAAGATGGAGGGACGGTCGGTGCCCGGGGCTCGCTCTCGCGCCCAGCCAGCCGGCTGCCTGACCCACATCTCCACTCCTCCTGCAGGGGGCTTCGCCACCTTCTCCTCCTGCTTCCCTGGCCTCTGTGAGGGCAAGCCAGCCGCTCTGCTGCCCATGAGCCTCTCCCAGCCCTGCCTGCCTGTGCCCAGCGTGGGCCTGACCCGCATCCTGCCTCACCTCTACCTGGGCTCGCAGAAAGACGTCCTGAACAAGGTGTGCCCACAGCTGGGCTTTGGCCGTCTGGAAGTGGGGAGAAGCCAGAGCTCAGAAGCAGTTCCAGGGCTGGTTTGGGGAGGGGGGCGAGAAGAGAGCTGAAAGCCAGTGAGGGGTGGATGAGCGTGGTGTGGGGGAAGCCTGGGCTGGGGACTGGGGCCCGACCAGAGCCTCGCCGGTGGAGAGGCAGCTCCCAGCCCCTTAGGCGGTGGAGCCCGCATGCCGAACAGCTGATGTCACTGGCCCCCCAGGCAGCCCTGAAAGAATCCCGTGTTGTCAAACTGTGATAAGGGAAGAGGGAAAGGCGCTGCCCAGGCAGCCTGAACGTTCCTGGAAGCCCACCTCGGGCGGCGGGTGGACCAGCCTCCCCGGCTCCCCCACCCCTCCACCCCCGCCGCAGGCTCAGAAGTCCAGGTGGAAGGGGGGAGGGGCTCCCACCTCCAGGGCACCCCCTCCTCCAGCCTGACCTCCTGCCCCTCCAGGACCTGATGACCCAGAACGGAATAAGCTACGTCCTCAATGCCAGCAACTCGTGCCCCAAGCCGGACTTCATCTGTGAGAGCCGGTTCATGCGCGTCCCCGTCAACGACAGCTACTGCGAGAAGCTGCTGCCCTGGCTGGACAAGTCCATCGAGTTCATCGGTGAGTGGGCGAGGAAGGGGTGGTGCAGGGGCGGGGGGAGGCTCTGGGGAAGGGGGCAGCGCCAGGCATCTCCTGGAGGGGTGGGGGCAGGAGGCAGGGGAGAGGCTCAGTGACCGTGTTGTGGGGGGGGGGCTGGGCCTGAGATGTGGGGCTGGGGTTGTGGGCGGTGGGGCCAGTAAGGTCCCCTGCTGGGGTTAGGGAAGGGGCCTGCACCCCGAGCCTTCACCGCACCCCCCCGCCGGCCCTGCCTCCAGATAAAGCTAAGCTGTCCAGCTGCCCGGTCATCGTCCACTGTCTGGCTGGCATCTCCCGTTCCGCCACCATCGCCATTGCTTACATCATGAAGACCATGGGCATGTCCTCAGATGATGCCTACAGGTAGCCTCTCCTTTCTTCCTGGGCCCAGAAGTTTAAGGCTGGAGATGGCCCTTCCCATGCCCCTCTCCACCCACTAGCAGCAGCAAGAGACCCGAGCCCAGCTCCAGCACTCCCGGATGGGTCTGCGCGCATCACCTGTGTGCCCAAGCATGGGGCAGGGGAGATGGGCAGGGAGCCCCGCTTAAAAGCAGCCCCCTTCCCCCCAGGTTCTTGAAGGACCGGGGCTCCAGCACTCCTGGGTGGGTCTGCACATCAACTGCATACCCAAGTGTGGGCAGGGGGCAAGGGGTGCGGGGAAGGGGGAGCAGGGGGGAGGGGGAGCAGGAGGGGCAGAAGGAGGGGAGGAGAGGAAGTAGGAGGAGGGGTGGGGGGCAGAGAGAGCAGGGGGAGAGCTGGAGGAGGGGGGGAACAGGGGTGGGGGAGGGATGAGGGGCAGGCAGTGGAGCAGGGGGGAGCAGGAAGGGTGGGGGCAGGGGAGGGGGGCCGGGGGAGGGGACATGGGGGGCGGGAGGAAGGGGGAGGGGCAGGGAGAGCTGGGGAGAGCAGGAGGGGTGAGGGCAGGGCAGGGGGACAGGGGGAGGGGACGTGGGGGCAGGAGGAAGGGGAAGCAGGGGGCGGGGGGGGGGGGGGGCAGGGAGCCCTGTCTCAAAGCAGCCCCCTTCCCCCAGGTTCGTGAAGGACCGGCGCCCATCCATTTCGCCCAACTTCAACTTCCTGGGCCAGCTGCTGGAGTACGAGCGCCGCCTGAAGCTGCTGGCCGCCCTGCAGGGAGACGGGGCGCCCCACCCTGGGACACCCGAGCCCCTCCCGGGCCCCGCGGCCCCACTGCCGCCGCTGCCACCACCTACCTCAGAGAGCGCCGCCACCGGGAGCGCAGCGGCCGGTGCGGCCCGGGAGGGCGCGCCGGGCGCCGGTGGGGAGCCGCCCGCACCCGCCGCCGCCGCCGCCCCGGCCACCAGCGCGCTGCAGCAGGGCCTGCGCGGCCTGCACCTCTCCTCCGACCGCCTGCAGGACACCAACCGCCTGAAGCGCTCCTTCTCGCTGGACATCAAGTCGGCCTACGCCCCCAGCCGGCGGCCCGACGACCCCGGGCCCCCCGCCCCCGGGGAGGCCCCCAAGGTGTGCAAGCTGGACAGCCCGTCGGGAGGCGCGCTGGGCCTGCCCTCCCCGGGCCCCGACAGCCCAGACGCGGCGTCAGAGACGCGCCCGCGCCTCCGCCGGCGGCCCCGGCCTTCCGCCGGCTCCCCGGCCCGCTCCCCGGCGCACGGCCTCGGCCTGAACTTCGGCGACGCCTCGCGGCAGACTCCGCGGCTCGGCCTCTCGGCGCTGTCGGCCCCGGGGCTGCCGGGCCCCGGCCAGCCGGTGGGCCCCGGGAGCTGGGCGCCGCCGCTCGACTCCCCCGGCACGCCGTCGCCCGACGGGCCCTGGTGCTTCAGCCCCGAGGGCGCGCAGGGCACGGCCGGCGCTCGGTTCGGCCCTTTCGGCCGGGCGGGCGCGCAGGGCTCAGGGGGCGGCGACCTGCGGCGGCGGGAGGCGGCAAGGGCCGAGGCCCGGGACGCGCGGACCGGCTGGCCGGACGAGCCGGCCCCGGAGACGCAGTTTAAGCGCCGAAGCTGTCAGATGGAGTTCGAGGAGGGCATGGTGGAGGGGCGCGCGCGCGGCGAGGAGCTGGCGGCCCTGGGCAAGCAGGCCAGCTTCTCGGGCAGCGTGGAGGTCATCGAGGTGTCCTGACGGTGGCCGGGGCACCCAGCGCCCGACGCTCCGCTGCCCTCGGCCCCCTGGCCCGGGCCGCCGGCAGCCGGGCCCACTATAAATATATATTATATATAATGCAAAGAAAGGTAAATGGTTTTACTGCGATTTTTATCAAGAAGTAAATATTTCGATTTTTTATTTATTTAAGCTGTTCATTCTGGCAACGATTGGGCAACAGTGCGGGCGGCCCTCGGACCTCTATTTTTACTGTCTGGTATTTAAACTGAAACCCACGTTTCTAAGCAATATGAGGCCACCTTCAGTCCCAAGCTGGGGTGCCAGGCCTGGGGTCCCCTCCCCCCCCCCCCCCCCCCCGGAAACACTGCTGACCGTTGCAAAAAGGCTGCCGAGCTTTCGTGCACTTTTTACATAAGAAAAAGGGGAAAAAGGAGAAAAAAAAAACTTTGCCACAAACTGAGCCGCAGAACCTCCCTGTCCCTCCCTGACCCCCCTCCTCTCCGCTCCTCCTCCTCTGCTCCTTTCTGGGCTCTGCACCAAAGTCTAGGTGGGGGAAGTGTCCCAGGAGCTGGGGTGTGGCTGAGGTGGCTCTGCCCACTGGAGGCTCCCCCAACCACCTGCCTCCCCCACCACCCACCCTGCCCCTCCCCTGGCCGGCGTTGACTGGCATCCGGCCTAGAGAGGTGAGGGTGTTTGGGGGGGGCTGGGGCTAGAACAGGATAGGGGCTCGGTGGGTGTCAGATTATGTGGGTCCCCGGGCAGGGATGGAAGTGGAATGGCCCCCACTCCTGCCTGAGCCCGCGTCCTTCCATGGGTTCAGCAGGACTGTTCCGTCCAGGCTGCTCTCCTCTCTCCACTTTGCAGAGCTGCCTAGCGCCGCCCACCAGGTGGGAGACAACAGGAGAAGCTCAGCCCCGGGGGTGTCAGGCAGGGAGAGCTGGGCTAGCCAGCTCTGGCTCCCCGGGTCACAGGGCAGATGGATTTCGAGTTCTGGGCTCTTCCCCACCCAGGCCCCAGGCCCCAGACCAGACCTGAATTTGGGTATGTTCCTGCAGGTGGGGGGTCTCCATGAGGAGCTGCCTTGCAGAGGGAGGGGGGTAAGCACCTGACAGACACTTAGGCTTCCCGGGGATGGGGTCCTTAGCTCTGGGAGAGCAGTCTCCAGGCAGATCAAGACCCCTGATGTGGCCAGATGGCAGGTATCCCCCATGCCTGCCCCCAGCCCCATGGAGTCCTTGGAGAAGGCCAGATGGCTTTTTGACCCAGGGGGGACCCTCCTGGTCCTTTACCTCCTGCTGGTAAAGGCAAGGAAAATGCCCCCGCTGCCCCCTGCCCCACACCCTCTCGGGTCTTTGGGACCCGTGGCTTTTGGAGGCAGGAGTAGACACCCTAGGACATCCTTCAGATGTCCTAAAGTCCTGGGTGCGGGGGCCGGTCGCCTTGGGAAGAGGCCAGGGGCTTGGCAGGAGGGCAGCTGGGTGGGACTGAGTCCTGGGGGCAGCTGCCCGTGTAGTTGTTTCTTCCGTTTGTTCCGTTGACCTGTGGCCCTGTGCCCGTCACCCTCCTTTAAGCAAAAGTCCTCTTCCTGTTCCCCTTGTCCCCACCCCTTTCCCCAAGAAAATAAGCTATCATCGTTGTGTTTGCAATCTATGGATTAGAGGTTTAAGTATTTATTATTGGTTAATTATTATTATTATGATTGATTATGTAAACTTGCCTTCTGTCTGTCTATCGCGTTGGGTTTCTGAGGTGACCCTGGGTGTGGAGGATGCACTGGTCCCCACCTCCACGCCCCACCCCTGTACTGTCCAGGAGACAGTGGTCTGGGGCCACTGGTTGGGCCCCAAACTCTGGAGGCAGGTCCCACAGCCCCTGTCCTTTCCTCTCTCTGCCCTCTGCCCTTTCTCTAGGGCCGCCAGCATCTCTTGTGACTTCTGTCGTGGAGTGTGGGGGGCTCTTGCTCTTGAGGCACTGGTCACCCCAAAGTGAGCAGCTGCAATGTTGGGGGAGGTCCTGTCCCGGCCATCCCCTCTCCTGTCCTGGGGGGGGGGACCGGGCCCTGGCACGAGCCCCTCCCCCGTCACTTCCACACACTGCCTGAGGCAGGGCGGGGCCGGGCCCCAGCCCTCCCACCCTCTTGCCCTGCCCCTGGCCCTGGCATTGGGGGTCACCCCAGAATGGACCCCGCCCCCTCCTAACACTTGCTGGAAGGTCCAGCGGAGGGGAGGTGGCAGGGCCCCCCCCTCCCCCGCACAGCTCCCAGTCTCTCCGGACTGGGCGGCCGCTCCTGCCCCAGAACCCCTCCCCCAGCGCGGCCACACTCCGCTCCCTGTCCTGTCCCCTTCTTTTGTATTTGGAAACAACGTGTTGTAATAAATCCTGACATGGATGTTTTCTCCGTGCCTCTGGCTGCCTCTTTCTTCAGGCTGGTGGGTGGGTGGAGTGGAGAGCGTGGGGCAGCAGCCCTGCAGGCTTCCTGAGTCCAGGAGCCTGGGCCGTCGAGCCCACAAGACCGAGCCAACTTCCGTAGGACTCAGGGCCTGGGACCCCGAGGGCAGGTCAGGCAGGGTGGGGGAGGCCTGTGTGGGGAAGGGGCCCCGACCGCATCCTCCAACGTGGAACACCCTTGTTTGTTGTCACATGCTGGTGAAAATTTTACAAATTTACAACTCTGTCCGATAAAATCGCGGCTTTGTCCCCAGCTACCTCCCCAGTGTAAGCACGGACACGGCGCGCCCCCGCACACCTCCGCGCGCGCCGAGCACGCCGCCTGACCTCTGCTGGCAGGCGGTTTGCTCGTGTTTGCGACCGGCTTCCAGCCGACTGCTGGAAGAACACGTGGGCTACATGTGGCTACAAGGACCGAAGGCTCAGAAGGGCATCTGGTGGAGTACCAGGGGACTCGGCCACTATTGTCCCCGGCCCCTGGGTTCCTCACCCTGGAGTCACCTGGCCCTGCCCACCTACCTTCCCGCTGGGGCCGCGCACCTGCGCCTGCGCCTGCTCCTGCACCTGCACGGACTCCCGCCAGAGCGCGTTGCCCGCAGGCCGCAGCCGCCCGGAGGGCGGGGCCGGCTTTAGTGACCCCCGCCGCTGGTGTGGTGACCCCCACAGCTCGGAGCATTCAGCACTACTCTCCTCGGACAGACTTTCAGACCGGACTCCTCCAGGTCACTCCGATGCTGGCTGTTACTATAGCGACGGCTCCTGCGCGCTGAGCTCACGGTGTGCCAGGCCCGACCCAGGCATCCGGGCATTTCCCGGGACGGCTCTCCCCGGCTCCAGGGGGGATGCCAGATGCGGCCCAGCCCTACGGCCCTCTAACCAATGCCTCGGACCCTCCTTGGGGCTCTGGCCTGCTTCTTCCTAGGGACACTTCCAAACCGGGGACAGGGGCCAGACCTCTGCTTGCGTGCGCGCGTGCACGGGAGCTCACATGCACGGGAGTACCCACACACGTGTGCAGAACGTGCGTGTTCCAGGAGCCTGGGAGAGGAGCGGAAGCGGGAGACAGGCTCAGCGGGCCCCTCTCCGGGGCTGTGGCAGGAGGCAGGGTCCTTGAATCCAGCATCCCGAGGAGCCCTCAAGAGGCCGAACACTAGAAGCACTGGGCTGTCGCTAAAGCGGGGCTATTTTTAGCTCAAGAACATCTATTTATAACTCTGGCAGCCCGGTGGAGTCCCTAAAGCCGGGGAGTGGAAGAAAGCGGATGGCTGTCTCCAGCCCCGCGGTGGTGCCTTCCGCTCCCCCAGGCCCAGGAGCCCCTGCCCCTGTAGGAGGCAGGCTGGTGGCGGCTCTTCCAGGACCACCGCAGCGGCGCAGAAGGCCAAAGGACCCTGGGAGCGGTGGAAGGATGCACGTGGGGTGGGGGGAAGTCATCTCCCAAGTTGCCCAGGTTCCGGGAGGTCACCTGGCCCAAGCAGGGAAGGAAGAAGGTGGTGAGGCCAGGCCCGCACACCTGCGGGCTGACCTCCACCTGCTCTCGACCACAAAGCCAGGCACCGTCCCAGGGGCTCTTCCGTGAACACTGGGCATCCTGCCTGCTTCTGCCTCTCTCCGGACGCCCTTGGTCAAGAGCTTTAGGCTCTCCGTGGGTTTCAAATGGGCGAGTACGTGGTTAGGAAAGGGTTGTTCTGGTGGGTCTCAGCCTGTGAGTAGTGAAGCTGGGCATGCCTGGGCCCTCCCCTGTGCCCGCACTACTGGTGGGGGCCACCAGACACCTTTCCCCACGGGGGCCAATGTCCTGGCTGGACGGGCCCCGGTGGTCCTTCTCAGGATGACAGAACACACTTGAGTAAGTAAGAGCCGTCAGGGGGCTCTGTGGAAGCTTCCTGACTCACAGGCCCTGGAGGGCCTAGGCACATCTGGGGCCACAGGTCAAGGTCACAGGGCAAGGAGAGGGAGGCAGCATGGACCTCGGTCTCTAACTCTTTGGGTTTGGGAGTGGGGGCTGAGGTTTCCAGAGTGGTCGCCCAGGACCTTTTGGGGCGGAACTGCTCGGTGGGGCAGCTGGGCTCTCTCCGTCTAGCTGGGTGGCTGGCAATGTGTTTATTTGAGATGGGTGTCTTTGAAGTGACTGTCTCGGCAATCAAAAGCTTAATGCCAGGCATTTCCATTAACAATCAAAAATGCTAATCTGCCAAGCACTTAGGCTCCAGGGCTGGGGCGGCGGGGGGGGGGGGGGGTGTTACGTGGTTGAGCCCATGGGTGATTAGGGAGTGGATGGGCGGATAGCGGTGCGTGGATGGGGGGATGAGGTGGCTAGCTGGAGGACAGATTGTTGAGAGCATAGTGTGGATAGATGAGTAGCTGGGAGGCCGGCGGGGCGGGTGGGTTAGTGGTCGTGGAGGTGTCCTGGAAAGGACCAGCCTCAGGGGCTCCTCCGGCCCCTTCCAGCTCAGAGGGAGACTCGAGGCTCAGACATGAGGGGGCGTAGAGCCCGGGAAGCGCGAAGCCACTGGCTCCCAGAAAGGCTGGGGTGAGGGGCTGGCTTCTGAAGGCCAGGTTGGATCTGGGGG